AAGACTGATTTATCTGACATTATCAGTGTGAAAGATAGAGCAATTGTGAAATCAATGCATATTTAATCTCCGTGCAAACAAACACCACATTAGCAGAGCAATTAACTAATCTGTGTCTCATTTTTGCCTCTGTTTGTTTTAGCCCAAATGAATCACGACTATCATCTCTGATCTTCGTATCCACTGCAGACCACACAGGGGATAAACAGTTTGATCTCGGTGGATGACTTTTTGAACTCACTGACCCCAGGTTGTTGGGATGAAGCGGATGGATATGGAATGTTGTTTAGGGATTCTGCTCACAGTGATGTTGCTGACTTCACACTCGCCTGAGTAACTGGGCAGCACACCCATGGTCTGCTCACTGGGAGGGTAAAGAGTTGATCCGACAGCCAGCCACAGAGAGACACAGAATCCCACTAATATTCCAGAGAATGCCCCCTGGAAAACCAAACACAGCTTTTAGTAGAAGATGTGTGGACATTTGACTGAATCAGGTTCAAAATCGATCAAACTGTGTGTCAGGGAAAGTCAACTACAATAAGATAGAAAGTGACCAAAAAACAACAGATATCTCACATTCTTATGTAAAAGTTTAGAAGTCCTGTTAAAGGAGAGTAAAAGACAGGACAAGTCAAACCACTTACAAGTCTGTTTGCTGCTGGGATAAACATCCCCAAAATGAAGACACCCAGTAAAGGACCGCTGACCACACCCATGACAGTGAACGATCCCTAAACAGAGCACATATGGGAAGTTACAGAAAAGCAAAGTAAATATTTCTGTTTGAGCTAACGCCTTTCATCCCAGAAGTCAGAGAAATACAACGAGATAGATAGATGGATACTTTATTAGTTCTTTGCAGGAAATTACACAGTCACAGCAGCAACTGCAATCACAGTCAAGTCACCACATGTCTTGATTAACTAGAGCTCCAGAGATTGACCTTGGATAATTTTTTCTTGGTTGGTCGACACAAAATCGAGACAGTGCTCAATGTTAAGGTCATTATCTTGAATACGTTTACTTATTTTCTATTAAAAATCAAAATCGGTTGTTAAAAAATAAATAAAGGAAAAGATGAATTAAATATCATGTCATATTAGTGATATCAATATTTGTGGTAATATTTAGGTATACCTGAAGTACTCCCCAGTCCAGAAATGAGGAGAGCGCAGCCACAGTGATACAACCAGCTCCACACAGGAGGGCTTTAACAAAAAACAAAAATAACTGTAAGTGCTGTTGCATAAAAATAAAAAAGATGTTTAAGTTCATGAGTCATAATCTCATTAAAACTCAAGTTCTGTGGGTTCAGTTACGTGGAATTCAGGGCTGAGTTTTAAAAAAAGATTTTATTAATCTCTAAGGGGAAATTCAAGCTTTACAATCTGGCTGCTACACACTGCCAGAGCTGACCTTCCATACTTTAGTCCGCACCAGGACTGACGACCCTCCTGTTCCCAACCTAAGTCCCTGCAGACTGAGCTACTGCCACCCCATGTATGAACTATCATTTACAGTGATACAGTATATTCATTTTATTGATCAAATATAAATGACGCAGTCGTTAACTTCTTTGCTTTCATAGTGTTATCGTCTGTTGTTGTTCAAGTTGACGTGCAATTTTAAAACAACTCGATTAAGTGTATGTTGTTTTAGTGAGGATCAACCTACACAGTCCTTTGGAAATGAGGACTAATTTCTTCTGGGAAACATGGACCAGGTGAGGTCGCAGAAGATCCTCCATCATCACTGCAGCCATCGCATTAATACTTGTGGAAGCTGTGCTGTGAAAAAAAAAACACACACATGGTCAACAGCTTACCCACATCGCATATCACTTTCAATTACTTCTGTGACTATCACTAAAGCCCCTGTAGAAGGCAATCATCTTTGAAAATACTAATAAGTATTACTGGATCCTATAAGCTGAACACACTTGTGAGTAAAAACCCTACTAACCTAATCCTGCTTTAGCAAGAATTCAGATGCATCAGTCAAATATGTAAAGTATGAAGAATATTGATAGTTTTTTTTTTTTCATTGATCATCATTTTCAACATTTGCCTGATTATCTTTATGCATTTAGTGTTGTAATGGTTTGTGTCCCTCAAAAGAGTCAAAAGGAAAAAACTGAGGGGTCACGGGGCGATAAAGGTCAGGACAGAATAAAAACAAGGTTGTGTTCTTTACTTGAAAGGTCACATATTATTCTCATTTTCAAAAAGTTTAAATAAGTCTCAGCGATATGCGTCTTTGTAGAAATTCTAGTCATCTAAAATGTAATGAGGAGCTTGCGTCAAACACAGCTGCTTGATGCTAGATGTCACAAGTCAGAAATGTTTTATTTCCACTGTAAATTAATTCTTATCTACAGCTTTCAGATCAGTTAGTGGAATCAGTATTTCCCTCTGGAACAAGTGGAGAATACGTGGCAGACGTATTCTCTGGTAGAAAAAGTTATAAAAAAATACCTGTGGTTATGTTAGAGTGATCTTAATTACTGGTAACTTCTGGTTTCCTGTCTTAATAAAATATAATCTGAAATACCTCAGAGTCCCGCTGTATGCACAGGCAAGGAAAAGTCCTGGAAAGCCAGGATGATTTCTGAATATGTCCAACACAAAGAACGGCATATACTTCATAACAAGAAAGAGGGGGGGAGAGGAAAAAACAATTGTCTTTGTTAGAAATTGTTATTATTATTTTTTTTACAATTGTACTTCATTGAAGAAGATCAAAACCCTTTAACATATTCTTTTTTATTCCTCACAGTGTTCTGATCCTACGCAGTAAAAGGGAAGTTTTTATCCTGTTGACAATCTATAAAACACACTTTCAGCTGACCTTAGTATTAGCTCAATAACTACAACGAAGACTGTGCATGATACATACTTTGACAGGAACTCCTGTTTGACACATAGTACAGCTATAACCATCACTTAAAGCAAAAAAGTGCGCCCCCTGTTCCCCATCACCAGTATAGGACATAACACGTAACACTTAGCTTTGGTCAACAGTCTGAGTAATAATTTGAGGTATAGGGTAGCAATACGACAAACAAATACGATAAGACAAACAAATCTAAGTCCTAGTCAAAGATATTAAGGATTGTCTTTCTGGAGTTTTCTGTACCAGATCAGGGGTTGAAATATTCCCAGACTTCAGTGGATCACAGTTGATGTAGTAAGCAAACATGACAATGCCACATGTTCCTGCACTGCTCACAATGAGACACAGGCCAACTTGGTTCACAAACAATGCCCTGCAATCATAAAAAAGGGCTGTCTTAGAGTAATATCATGTTAACATGAACAAGACAAAGAAAATACATTTAAAAACATGTGTCTGATAGCAGAGAATTCATACACGTGTATGCAAAGCAGACAATGAAGAGACATAACATAATAATGTGTTCATAAAACAAATAACTTTTATGTAAATATTGAACTCTGCTCTAAAACATCATTAAGCCACCCTTTATTTAGGCATACTGCACTGTTAGGAGAACAACACGCCTCAAGAGAGCAATGGTGTCATCTACACGTATCTTTTATTCATTACAATGTGGGTATGTTTACCATGTTCTCCGCCTGACTTCATCATGATATCATGCTGACATTGCTAGTTATCACATTAAACAAAGTATAGCTGAGGCTTATGGACATGTTTTGAGTTGAGTCAAGGCTTGTTTGTATCTATTTTGAAGAGGACAGCCAGTCTGTTCAAACAAGATCAGCAGAGAAGTGGAAGAAGAGGCCATCCAGACAGAGCTGGATTCAATGGTTAGAAACAAAAAGGTGCTTCAGAAGATGCCTCAGAAATAGAAATACAATCAGTAGTACAACCTGCTTCACTCCCTTCTGTGTGTCCTCTTTTTTTTTACTGAGAGGATGTTTCAGCAGATACATTTCTTAGTGGAGGGCAGTGCATGCTTGATTGATCGGTGTATTGGCTTCAGTATATACCAGATGGAAGATATTCTAATCAATCATCTAGTATATCCAGACCATGAATTCTAATTCAATGTGATTGTCACTGATTAAAATCCGACAAGCACATTTAAAAGTAAGAGTTCAAAGATGTCTATGAAAAAATGTTACCTGCACTTACATGGCGATGTTTGTTTAGACTTTAGAGAGATGATTGAGGACTTTCCCAGGTACAAACATTCCCCTCCTACGCCAGTGAGCGCTGGGTGCTAAATTGTATAATAAACTGGAAGTAAGGCATGAGCAGACTCTGAATTTGTCTCTTCAGAAACATGTAGTTGAATTTAAAGGCGCTGTATTGTGCTATACTACACATTGTGCTATTTTTCTGTGTTTAACATCACACATATTCAAGACCAAGAGTCTTTCTGTATGATATACAGATCGGCCACTCACCACTGGGCCGCTTTTTCTGTTTGGCAGGAGATGTAGCGCTGGACTTGGGCTTGGTTTACCCCGTACATGGACAGCCAAACCATTGCACCCCCGACAGACAAGCTCCAGAAGGTATACCGCTTACGTGGGTCAATGTCAAAACTAGTGAAAAAACATTTTTCAAACAAATGAGTGGAAACACAACTTTCAAAACCAGTATAGAACAGGAAATATTGAAATCAAGGGACAGAAGGTTTATATGTTGCTTGTGACATGCTGTACATTTAAGTGTGATAAAAAATCCATAACTTAAGATCTTACTTGTAATTTCATATTCTGCACTATATAAACCATCTTGCAGGTTCTTAGACCAACTCTGAACATAAACAGGTTTGAAAACTGTCATTATATCCAACCATTTGGTGTCCCAGTTGGAGGTTTCATAATTTGATCATAATAGCCTGGTTGCCAAATCCTTTGGCATTGACCTGTTTCTTTGACATCTCATTTAAACATATGAGCTTACATGTGAATTCTTCCTGTCTACAACTTTTAAAGTGTAACAAATCCTGTTTGGTTAGGTTTAGGCGAAACGAAATGGTTTGGGAAACGTCATTGCATGTCATTGGAGTCGGTTGGAAGCCATGTACATCTCTTGCAGACTCTGTAAGGTATGTGTCTTTATAGACGCAGAGGGCTGTGACAAAGGATCAGTATTTTGAACACTGGTATGAAAACTGGTAGTAAAAACTCAGCAACCTCTGTCCCCCTGGGATGACACGCGACCACATGAACTGCAATCCTTAAAATGTCGCAGCTTATAATAGGATGCATGTGTTGACACAAATAACCAAATCTGTTCTCCCTGACTATATCCGAACACCAGTCAAATGTCTGAGTAAAGTCATAGTCGCAGAAAAGTGAACGCAGTGGGAACATTTGCAAAATTTAGTTGGACAAGGGTGGAGTGATGATGTTTCACATTGAGAGGGTTTCTCTGCATTATACTCTGCATTATACTGTTTGTCGCACAGTGTTTTACATTTCTGTGTTTGTCTTTCACAAACATCCTTATACATGTTGCAGTGATATTTACACAGAAAAAGTCGCCATTATGGAAGACTACTCCACCTCCTGCACGTGCTACCCAATAAGGGCGGACTCAGACTAACACCAGCATGACTGCTCCTACCTCCCCAGTCCATCATTGGTCTGCACTCAAATTGATCCAGGACCCAAACGGGCCTGAGCACGGGTACCTCTTGTACATATAGCGTCAGGTTGTAATATGACACATGTATGCAGAAAATATAAGGAGTGGGAAAAAAGGCTGAAAAGAGGACCTTCAGTTGTGAATATGACAAACCATCACATATAAACGACAACTGTACCAGTGTCGCCACAAGGATGACTGGTATCGCACAGAACTATGACTGGGATTAGTCAACAGCATAATGATGGAATTCTGAGAATCCTTCAATCGGCAGATAAATTTGTACATTAAGTTTCTCAGTTTAAGAGCCTGAAAAGTGTTAACTCCTGCATTACAAAATAACTCGCTTGCACTAGTCCATCAAGATTTTTTAAACAGTATTCTCAGGGAGTATATGCAACTTTAAGCTTTTGTAAGCTTGCCTTTTTAAACCTGGCCTACAAGGGGGCAGTATAAAGAGGAGTACAATATGCTCTGAATAGATTTTTCTTAAAGAGCCCATATTTTGCCCTTTTTGGGGTTCGTATATTTAATCTATGTACCTACTTTTGTACGTTCACAATAGCTAAAGTCCGAAAAAAGTGTCTGTTTTCATGTACTGCTCTTCCTTGCTCCCTCTACGCTCTGAGTCCGTCAGCTACGCTCTGTTGAGCCCACACTGTTAGACCCCACGTGGGCCAAGTCTGCTCTGATAGGTCTGCCGATCTGCTCTGTCGTTATTGGTCAGTTGCTCAGCACGCGTCTCGGAAATTTCAACATGAGCTGCAGGGCTTGCCACAACGAGCCAATGGACTTCAGTGATCTCACACTGACAATGACGTCGGACTGACACATTTTTATCGAGGGGGGCTAGAACCGAGCGTTACATGCGGCTAATGCTACAGCTAACAAGAGGAAGTAGGAGAAGTTTGAATTTTTGCACATAGATGTGCCTAAACATGCACAGGACACTTGGAAAACACACTAAAGGGCATATAAAACCAGAAAAAGCATAATATGGGACCTTTAACATTGACTGTACACATTGAGAATTTTCTTACCAACATATTGACCTGGGCATATAACATTCGACATTGTCTGTACATGTCGTCATCATTGGCCATTTGATCCGTAATAAAGTGACCTAAATATATTATTTTGGTGCTCACACTCAGCACCTGCCCTGACAGGTAAAAATTAGGAAAGTTTAGGTCCTTGTACCCTTTTGTTCTGCATATCAAAACAGTACTCTTTGTAGCATTGTATTGCACATCATATGTTAGACCATAATCAGAACATATATTAAGCAGCTGCTGAAACCCAGCGCTGCTAGGGGGAAAAAATGCCAAATCATCAGCATAGATGAGGTGATTGATTATACTGTTACCCAACACACAACCAGTTTTGTAACCATTTAGTTGTTAAGATAGATCATTCACGTACAAGTTAAAGAGTGCAGGAGAAAGCAACCCCCTCGTCCTTGATAACAGGCAACAAAGTGACGGACAACATGGAGTCTGGCAACAGGCCATGAGTCATTAGACCGGTAAAACAGACAGCAAGAAGAATAGCAACCTTTGGGGTAGCAAACTTGAGGTGCTCTGCAGTGATTTGATCTGAGCGACTTGCCTTATTTTTCGCAAGCTACAATATTGCTTGATGGACCTCAGTGGCTGTAACACCCTCAATATCACTACTAGCAATGTTTCACAAATTATATGGGTCCCCTTTCACACAATTAAATAAATCATAGTAATGTTGCCTCCATATCTCAGCAATGTTATCTGGTCCAGAAACTCCCTCTATTATGCTCGGTAGCACAGCTGCTCCCTTATTTAAAGCTCTTGCATCTTTCCAAAAATCCATGACTTTGTTACAGAGCAGTTTTTTAGCCAATGAGTCTGCTCTCATTACCTGCTCATTTTTACACACAAAACGGACAGCATATTTACATCTAGCATTAGTGAGCTTTTTGTGATCCAGGACAGGCCCCTGTCTGGGTCAACCTGCCTGATTCCAAGCCCTGAAAGCCTCCTTTGCTGCTGCATGATGTATAGCTACATGTTTATTCCAGCGCACCCGTGCCAATGATAGGCTTGGGCCTACCTGGTGCAGGCTTGTCGGTGCGCTGTCTACCACCGGTAGTCTGTTTGCTGTCATGATTCCTCACCCGCCGGCCCTGCTTGACAACATGGCTCCATTTCGGCAATGCTCCTCCAGGGCTCTCACCTGTGCTCCTAGTAATTACTGAGACACCGGCACTGGAACATATGCTCAGGTCTACCTCCGTGCAGGCTGCAGAAGCCGGGTCATCACTGATTGAGTCGCCTTTATCGGTGGAGACAGAGTCCACCTCAGCTACAGCTCCAACCAGAGCATTATCCAAAGCAGAGGATCCAGCCAGTGCGCTTGCTAGAGTACCCGGCGTCACTGGACATAGCCCGGCTTTGCGCTCCGCCATGCCCCGGTTTCAAATTGTGCTCTATAGCTGCAACTCTGCGTTCAGTGGTTGTAGTAATGTCACACAAGCCCACGCCGATGTTAGCTTGGAGTCTTACTGCATGCCGTAGCGCAGAGATCTCACTTTACTCAGTAATTTAGACACATCTAAATTGTAGCTCATCCAGGTAGTGTGAGACAAAGCGAGGGACGTTTTCTCCGTACTCATTTAACACCTTTAATCAACTTTGAATACTATTGATGTCTTTCTGGTCACCCTTAAAGGCTACACAACGTTGCTTGGTGTCAGGACACAGTTCAAACAGTGTCTTTCTCGATGATTCAATCCACTTAGAATCGAAGGTGTTCGAGGCTATAAGGACAAGTTCATCTTGACTCAGTCTTTATTTTGACTGCGAGGAAGTTCAGAAACTCATCCTCTACAATCAGTTTGCCATCTACCGTCTCATAGATCACGGGTTTTAAACGTGGCCGACTTAATCCAAGAGCAGGCGTCTCTCTGCACGCACCGTCCATCATGACGGTGTGTCAACTAGATTAGCATGCTGGTGTGTGTAGTTAGGGCTAGGGCACTCCTAGTAGACTCCTAACATCATCATCATAGGACCCTCAGTTGTTGTTGCATTAAGATTAGATTATAGAATTTCAAACATTTATTATATGTGTGGTTCTACAGATCAAGAAAAGTGTTTTTTACTCATTGAAGTTGACGCGTGATCCATTCTTGGCTATCTCCAGTACAAGTGCAGGACCACCAACCAGAACTGTTCCTCGTATTAAAACGGCCACAAAGCCAGAGAACATGACGATAATCTGGAACACATCAGTCCAGATCACAGCTTTTATGCCCCCCTGTTAACAGACAGATGAAGAAACAGACGCATGGTAAAACATGTAAGGATTAGAGTCTGGTGTTTAAAACTTGAGAAAATCAGTTGAACCCAAGGTTGAAGTGGGCGTGCTTTTTGCATTGTAATTTTTAAAGGGGGTCTCTGACAATGTTCTTTCAGACTGCTGAGATACACTACAAAATATTTATTAGCTGGAGGGACAACATTTCTTGCAAATGAGTAGTGATTTAAAAAGTATAAGAATAGTGGTGTTGCACCATGTCAATATGAAACTAGTCTTTACAGTTTAAGGAGACCTTAGCTCTGTGATGGAATAGATAGTTCCTTACCAGTGTGGTGTATAGGGTGCAAATGATCCCAGTAGAAAACAGAGATACCCACATATTGAGTCCAATAGCTGAAATGAAAGAAAAAAGTATTGAAAAAGAGTTTGAACAGCATTCTCCAAACTCAAATTTTAAAATGATTAAAGACTTCAATCCATCCAGCCATCCATTTTCTTTCCCTTATCTGAGGTCGGGTCGTGGTGGCAGCAAGCGCTGTAAGTCAAACCAGACTTCTCCCTCCCCAGCAACATTTTCCAGCTCCATCTGGGGGATCTCCCCCCAATCTTTTGACCCATATCTCTAAGGCTAAGCCTAGCCACCCTCCAGAGAAAATTCATTTCAGCTGCTTGTAGGGGAGGGTTGGAACTAAGATCGACTGATGAATGGAGAGACAACGCCTGCATTACTGCCGACGCTGAGCCAATCCGCCTGTCAATCTCAGGGTCCATCTTACCCTCATTTGTGAACAAGACCCCGCGATACTTAAACTCCTTCACTTGAGTCAAGGACTCACTCCCCACCCAGAGGGCGCAATCCACTGTTTTTCGGCAAAGAACCATGGCCTCAGACTTGGAGGTGCTTGCCCTCATCCCAACCGCTTCATACTCAGCTGTAAACCACCCCAATGCCTGCTGGAGGTTCCAGCATGAGGAAGCTAACAAAACCACATCATCTGCAAAAAGCAGAGATGAGATCTTTGGGCCCTCAAACTGGAAACCCTTCTTCCCTCCGGCTGCGTCGTGAGATCCTGTCCATGAAGATCACAAACAGAATATGTAACCCTGGTGAAGGCCAACAAGCACCGCAGAGGATTGGCATGCACCCAACCCCCATGTCTCTTCCTGCGGGTTGTAGGCCTACAAGGCAAATACTTGAGCAGTTTGGCAAATAAGCTTTATCCGCTGTGCATCAATTGGTTATGTCTGTAAGCCTGGCTTATTCAATATACTTATAACTAATTGGATGCAGTAATGAGTTTGAACTTTGCTTTGGTGTGGTTGTTTGCAAAAGAGTTTCCCTTGAATACAAAGTTTGAAAACCCAGCATTGGCAGCAAGCTAACTAAACTCTAGCACTTGCTGGTTTTAAAATGTTATCAAATGGTCAAATATGCACATGGTTAATAGAGTATAATTTTGAAATACTTTAGGGAATGATGCTTATGTTCATAGTAGGGGACAGTTTTTCCCCTGTATGACAGCATAATTGCTCATTTGAATAAGTGCAACCACCACTGAAGCACAGAGACACTGTTTGCTCTGCTTGTGTTTTGTTAACAAGACAGTGTCTTTCTGATTCTTTTGCCCAGGTTTTATCCATGTTCAGTCCGTCTGATTATCAGGTAAACTCTTCTACATACCTTAACAAGTGTCAGAAAGACTTTTCATATCACTTTCACAGTTTCATATCTAAATAGAATAAACCTTGCCTAAAGAGTTACTCATTGCATCCTGTTCTCAGTTAGTTTTTCTCTTGTTTTTGCTTGACCTGATGAAAAAAGTAACTTCTGATACACAGAACACAGTGAGAATTGATGCTGAAAGCCAATTATTATTTGATATGTGGACCAAATATCAAAGAATGAATGAAAAAGAATGAAAACATCTCATTAGTGTAGACAGCAGGTCAAGTTTCAGGTGATCAATCCTACCTTGGTTGAGAATCAAGGCAGGTGCATAGATGACAACTCCTGTGTAAAGCAGCTGGGAAGGAGGAAACAAAATAATCAAACAGAAAACATAAAAACAGTCATGAGAAGTGACACCTCATGATTGTTTTGTTCCATTACAGAAGTGTCAGTCTTTATTAAAACCTCTTAGCTAACTGAGTGTGAGTCTAGGCCAACACAAATATTAGCATGTGAAAAACTAGAAATGTGACCTCTACTTAATGAGCACATGGTCTTTAACCATACAGAGAACCATAACACCTGTCTTACCGTTGCAACAAGAAACTGGATACTCCCCAACAGCTGCATCCCTCTGCCAAATCTCAACTTCAGATACTGTGACAGACAGATGGCTGGAGTTATGAGACATCCCTCATCATTCCTCACATCTTACACTCAACATGTTTCATGACCCACAGGTGCATTTCAAGATGTCTGAGAAATGAAGAACTCCGTTTTTTTTGTTTTTTTTTAACATGGGGGGTTAGAGTTACTCTTACTGAAGTCATATCATTGATTAATTATCTAATTTCTTTATTGATAAAGGCATCAAATCAAACCCTTCTGTATTACTTACTGTACAAACTATAAAATCCCATGAATTCTTCTAAACTGTATAGTTTATATTGTGTATTGCTGTATTAACTGGAGGTTCAATATTACCTGATTGGTGCTGGTGATGCCCAGTCGAAAGAAAACAGGAAGGAAAAGGTACGCCGTCAGCAGCGAGTTGATGCTTTGCCCAAGACACATGTAGAGGAATTTAAAGCCGTAGCGAGAAGCTTCAGCGGGAACACCCAAAACCTGGACTGCTGACATAAAGCTGGCACAGAGCGACAGCCCAACCGGCACTGCTGGCAGGCTCCTGCCCCCGGTGAAGAAGTCATCTGCTGTGGCTTCCCTTTTGCTCTTCTTCAAGGCCTGGAAGACTCCGATGGCCATAGAGACCAACAGCATGCAAGCAAAGACTGCATAGTCGGCAATGACGAAGCCTAGCGTGGATGGATCTCTAACTGTCAGCTCTTCCATTATTTGACTTGAGTGTCCTCTTCCTTGTGGATTGTTTGATTTGAATGTTTATTTGTTTTTTTGATCTGTCAAAGTGAAGACAGATTCACAGTTCATAACTGTACCACAAATGTCCCTGAAACAAAGCATGCTTGTAGGCTGTAGGATGTCCTTTCTCTTTAATGTGATAACTTGTGACAATAGGTGTCTACATTAAATAAACACACTTAAGATCAAACACTATATGAACCCATTATAGCTGGTTAACTCTCTTATAGCCGGTGTGCTATAGCTGAACCTGACAGCATGATGCTCATACTGGCTTGTGAAATATGCTGTCTAGTTATTTGGAGTGGTCCATTGAGTGTTTTAATGTAATCATCATACTACTTTTTGAAATATGTCCAATGAATAATAAATATAATATGACATTAATCAAAGTTGTTTTGAGACAATTTAATTCGATTTAAAATTGTAATTATTTTCATAAATCGCGCATTTTTATTTCACATATCAGTTTGAAAACTTTTTTTGTTTTCTTCTTTGTCACCAGACTGTTAGCAATATATATATTTTAGGCTGTAGACTATATTTTGTCAGCTGTCGAGAATTTAAAACTGTATAAAAAGGCCCTCGATTTTTCTTAAATGTTTTTTCATTTATATCCTTTAAGTAGCTTATCCGAGTTTTTGGCAGAACTAAATTTAAAAATTTGTCGCGCAATATTCATTTACGTTGAATGTGTAACTTTACACATTACGTTTTTTTCTTTTTAGATTATAAATTATAAAGCGAGACAATGTGTAAGAAAAGGTAGACTATGAATACAAAGCAGATGACTGCAGAAAGATTCGTAAGAAACTTGAAAAGACTCACCATTTGTCTTCCATTCAGTCCGGTGGTGTCCTCTTAGTGATAGTGGGATGTGCTGACAAACCTCTTTATACCTGAGCAGCTACCTGAGCAGCTTTCTCTGATAACGCATCAGCGGACGTGCGTGCTTTTGCGCACACTATGAAAAGCAGCAGGCCCTGTGCGTCTCCCGCAAACGTTAACGGGTACCTTATGCATCTTTGTGATTCACCGAGGGGCGTTACAAAGCGTCTGAGAGAGAGAGAGAGAGAGAGAGAGAGAGAGAGAGAGAGAGAGAGAGAAGAGAGAGTGTGGCACTGGCTCAGGTGGATCGTGTGGCAAGAAGTTGGATACAGTGGCTGCAGGGGGAAAAAAACAGGCTACTTGAGAATGAAAATGATTCCTGCAATCCTCAACTGACTTATGTACAAAAAAAATACAAAAAACATTTCCCTTAGTGATGCAACTCTTCTATGAAATTTTCATTTGATATGTTTTCACAAGAAGTAGGACTAGACATGTTTAATAACGGAGAAAATGTGTTGTGATAAAAACATTTTTAAATATGAAATAATGCATTCACCAACGACAAGTGTAACTCAGGGGCGAGTTTAGGATCTGAACTTTAGTGGTGCTCAGCTCCTTAAGTGTTTGTGATGTGTAGTTCCTTAAAAGTGTTTAATCCTCTCGCTGAAACACTAAATTACACTGAACGAAAGGAAATATTTCATATATAAATAATAAGTAACCTACGGGGCCTCTGAAGGGACATGGACAGAAAAAATATTAGAAAATAAAATGGTGCAGCAGAAACTAATCCGTATATACACTTTCAATTTTCTTTTACCCATGTCCCCTTAAGGACTCCGTAGTAACCTTACTTTTACACCACTCAAAATATTTTTTAGGGAAATTAAAAATTTTATATCCCGACTTTCATATTGCATTTCAACATCATCATTAGGGTTTTCACGTATGTTTACCTGCCTCCCACAGGTCAGCACCTTGATTTGCCTGATGAACATCGCCAGCACATCCTCCCTTATAGGTCGGAAGTTGTCGTTTAAAAGAGGGAACAAATATTTTTTTTAAACAAATACAAAAGTGAATAAGTGCTCAAATGATCTAAGTAGGCTACAATTCTAATATAGGCTATACAAAAAATTTGTCATTTTTCAAGTTTCTAATTTTCCTTCTCAACCACATTATCTAATAAAATTACCTTCTTTTCAGATTCAGGTTGATAATAAAAAAAAAGAAAATCATAACAAAATATCACATTTCATTAAGATGAAGAATGTATTGGGCTGTGTGTGGAAATGTACCCAGCAGTTTAAAAAAGATAAGTAAGCTTCATCTTTACCAGCTGTGCACTAAACTCATTTATGCATCAATCCTCATGATACAGTAATATAACAGAT